GTTTTCTTCTTCATGTTTTTTTAAGACTGAAAGATCAAACAGATCTGATTTGAAATACAACATTTGTTAAAAGCATTTTACTTTTAGAAACTTCCTAAACCAGGAAAACAAAAGTTGACCCCTACCTGGGCCTTCTATACTCTTCCTTCCTTCAACAGATACACTAGAGAAATGTAAACAATCTTAATTAAGGGACAGACATCCTTCTACCACATTCTTACAAAGTCATTCCTACAAGTCTTGATGCAAATCACTTGCTTTGCCAATTTAAAAAGTAACAAAGCCCACATAAATGATCATTAGAATAATCAACCCTTGTGCAGTAATGGGATCAGCTGGTCCCACTGACACAGCTAAAAATTCACTGCTGGCAAGACTAGAGTCCAAGTAGGTATTCATTGTTTCTTTGTGCTTAGAACCCAATAAATGAATGTTCACATGTAAGTCAAATGACACAGGCACATTTCTATAATTGAAATTATTCAAGTAGTGAGCCAACTAAGAAATTCTGTGCTGTGACAAATACTGCTTTGCAGCTATACAGTTTCAGTGCTTTCTTCTTCATGTCTTGTATTTCATGTTTGTTTTATATGAATTTTTAGTTACATTTAGAGTCAAACGTGTCCAAAGTAATTAGTGCATTTTAGGCACTGCCCCAAACCCAGCATTTTAAGCAGCAAATGTGTAGCTATATTTTTTTATTACTATATTGCAACATGTTGCACCTACAAAAATGACGATGACAAATGCCACAATCATGTCACAATAATTATGAAAAATTCTCCTTATTGCAACTCCAACCAATGAGTGAAGCTCCCTGCAGTGGTACAGGCTCTTGAACTAACTGTCTAACACACACTTCTCCAAAAGTGAACAAAAAGACTGTTCCAAAAGGAACAGGCTGCCCAGGGAGGTTGTGGAGTCTCCTTCTCTGGAGATGTTCAAGACCTGCCTGGATGCCTACCTGTGCGACCTGCTGTAGGGAACCTGCTTTGGCAGGGAGGTTGGACTCGATGATCTCTGGAGGTCCCTTCCAACCCCTACAGTTCTGTGATTCTGTGAAAAGTGAGTGTAACAGAATCATGAAAACAGAACACGCGCCAGAACACTCCAGTCCACTGATGAAGGCAGATTCAGGTCACCATGCCAAAGTGAAATGGCATGGCTGAGACGCAGCACATGCTCCTCCTTGCCAGCCGTGCTACATAAGCAAGTCAGTCAGCTGGATAAAGGAGCACCACAATGCTGCTGTTTTCCCTGTGTCAGCTCTCTCACCCTCTTGCTTTCTTTTCTGCTACCTCCTCACTTTGAAGCGATGTTTTTCCTTGCTGCAGCTCTCAATTATCACTCCTTTGAGCTTGAGTCTTCCTTATGCTTTCCTGCAGAATCTGTAAAAACTGATAATTGATTACTGTCTAAGTATCACAATTTGTGCTTGAGAGTAGAGTGCAAACTAAAGGAACAAGAGCAAGTACATAACAGCCATTCCGTCTGAGTTCAAGCCCTGGCAAACATCAATTTGCATTAAGTGCAGATTTCACAATTAGGTTTGAAAAACCTACTGTAAACAGATAAGTTCCCTGAGCAGTAATGAAACCCATACATGCAAACCTATCTCAAAGTTTACTATAAACTCTGCCTACAATTAAGTGTTTAATAAAACCTCTCCATTGTGACATCTGTGGCAGGTTGCACTGCTGCCTTCCCTAAGCTCTGCCTGTTTCCTCTCAGCAGCCTCCAGCCCCACATGCTTGTATTAACATTAGCATCTACAAGACCTCTTCATTCTTGTCAAATGTGACTGAAACAGGCAGAAGGGTACCGGGAGGTACCCCTTTACAGTGAGGGTGACGGAGCAGTGGAACAGGCTGCCCAGGGAGGTGGTGGAGTCTCCTTCTCTGGAGATGTTCAAGACCTGCCTGGATGCCTACCTGTGTGACCTACTGTAGGGAACCTGCTTTGGCAGGGGGGTTGGACTCGATGATCTCTGGAGGTCCCTTCCAACCCCTACAATTCTGTGATTCTGTGAGGTAAGGAGAGAGGCAGGAAAAGGATGGTAGGCAACGATTCAGCATGACTGGTGCGTGCACACAGTGCATTCAAAAATAAACCTAAAACCAAAAATTTCTACTGTAAGAAACACACAAACTCCTCAGGCAGAACACACTATTGCATCATTAAAACTACATTTAGCTACAGACTGTGTGTTTGATGGCATTTTTTGAAATCTGAATTAGTCACTGAGGACTTTCTACAGTAATACTAGCCAAGTACGCTGACCCTGCATATGAGATGCTAAACTAGTAGGGAACAATTAAATAAATGCCTGAAACACTAAGCAAAAGATTTTCATGTCTAATACTACAGCTGGTGGATTAGCATCACATCTAAATTTCACTATGGTTTTTCAGGTTGTGCTAACATAACCAACAAATTTCTAGAAGAAACACTGAAAAACAAGTACCAGCTCTACTGGTACTTGTTACCAGTTACCAGTACCTTATCGTAACTTCCTTCTGTACGTCTGAGATGGACACCTCCATAGCTTTTAGTCTATCCTCTCTACTCCAGCTACTAGAAGACTTGATACCTTTCTATGACTGCTAAGCATTTGCTGGACTCTAGACAGCAGAAGCAAAGTCAGAAGGACTGTATTCAGCCCTAATTTTACATGAGTATAGCTTGGGACATATCTCTGTTGCAAGTTGCACAGGTTATTTTACCATTTCCCAACCATGCATAAAACCTCCTATCATTCAGACATCTAAGAGTTGTTTTGCAGCTGAATGCATGGATGAGGGTAAAATGCCAGGATCTACTTCTACTACAAAGACATTTAAACAAACCAACCAACCCAATCACCCATACCCTTGCCCATTTGGCAAAAAGAACAGTGCAGCACATAAGCCACACAAGAGAAAAGTTGTTTTCCAGTCCCTTTCTGCAATCTTGAGCTTTGTAATTAAGGCTTACTACAGCACAGGAGTGGTGATATAGGGAAAAGAAATCCAAAGAACCCTGAAGGGATAGAATAGGAAGACCTGCAGTACTACTGATATAAACACTGGAGTATAGATGCAGCATGAACTAATGAAGAAAAAAAAAATCATTTTGTAGACAGAATGTGCTTCTGCAACATCATCTCAAAAGGCACTGTGGCCTGACATCACTCTTTATCATACCCCATTGGCCAGTGCTGGAAAATCCACCTTATTACTTTTCAATATTCAGAGCTTCAGAGAAAAGGGTGCATTGTATTTAAGTGAGTAAGCAGCAGTGAAAACTTGAATTTGGATACAAAAAAGAAAGTCATGAAATGAAGGACTGAGATCGAAGAGATTATTCAGCGTGGCTCCAGATAGGTCTGTTACAGGCCACCAGCACACAACATGTGTTAGGTTTGTGAATGCACAAACCATCTTGTGGCAAAAATTGCCTGCTGCTGGTTTTGTACTAGCCAGACGTCAGGTGAGAATCAACCTGAGAATTCTTCCATTGGAAGGGAAAAGGCATGGGGAAAAGGCAAGGAAATGTTCTGAGAATCTTCAGAAACTTGTCTGAGAGTTTATCAAATGGTAGCTTGTCACTAAGAATTGCCAGAAAAAGAAAAAAAAAAGAAAAAAGAAAGCATTACTCAGCATTTATATTCTTGTTTCTGCAAAATTAATGCTTACACATGATTATTATGACTTCCTTAACATTTAAAAGATCTGCCTGGCCATAACCACATCGTTCTCAACAATTCCTATGTAAATATCAAGTACCTCTCCATGCTACCTTCACTGAAACAGCCAATTCCTATATTAAGAACTGCTAAACTTTTACAGGGGGTATCCTGAGCCAGCTGTCCTCTCTCCTGCAGTACCACTAAATCTTAAGCACCAGAAAAGGCACAGGAAAAATCTCATGCTTGGGGTCTATCCACCTCAGAATACACAATTACAATTGGACAAGGAATACCTCACTGACATCAGAATTTCGGCTTCATGGGTACAGACGATTAATTGCGAGGTTTTTAGTTGAAAAAAAATTGTTCAGGTACTGATTTGTATGCCAGTGACAAAACACCATTACCAACAACTACACACACAGGAAATTTTCAACCATATGCCTGGGTGATCCACACCTACAGCTTTCATACTGTTACAAGTAGAGAAGTGAAGTCCCATACTGGGCCTAAATCAAGGGACTGGCACTGAGTCTACGATGACAGAATGTCCAGCAGGCAGCTGTGGGTAAAGGCTCAAGGATCAATCACAGTCTAGTTTGAAATGTAACCGCTCCAGAGAACGAGAACTGCTGTTCCTTCATTTGGCCATACAAAAACCTTGGCGTACAGCTCCTGCATTCAGGGAATCGGACCCTTGGAGTTCAGATGAGAAGCTGTCATCTCCCACGTCGCAAAGAGAGCTGCTCCAGCCGGGGGGCGCCCACCTGAGCCACCTCCACATTCTCTCGGGCCACCTCTGCAATGCCCGCTGGAGACACCGAAGCCTCTCTGCGGTAAGCTTTATGAAAATCATAAATCGGCGTCCAGAACGCACCCATCAGCATTTTCCACTGCTCAAAATCACGGCACGTTACAACGCCAACCCAGCAACAGAACAACCAAAGGCAGAGGCTATTTTTCCCCTCCGCTCTCTCCTCCCGCCCCCGTGGCAGCAGCGCAAGGGCCGCCGCAGCCCGGAGCCCCTCAGGACGCGGCGCGGTGCCCACGAGTCCCAGCGCGCGCTGCCGGACGGCGCACAGCGGGACGGCCCCGCGCAGCACCGGCACGCGGCTCCGCGGCCCGGGATGGGCAGGCACGGGCGGCTCCCGACGAGACCCTGTCCTGAGCGCCTCCGTCGGAAAGCCCCCGAGCTCTGCCCTTCCCCTGGGTGCAGCCTCCCAAAGCCGATTAACTGCGCTGGCCCCGATCCCCACCCACGGAGCGCGGTTCTGCCCCACCACCCGCCCCGCGGACCCCTCCGAACGGCGCGGTCCCTTAGTCGCTCACTCACCATGGTACAGATGGAGGCGATTTTGGAGACCGTCATTAGGATTTCCATCCGCCCAGCGCCATCTTCCGCCCAATCACAGCGCCGAGCGGGGCCGGGCCGGGCCGGGCCGAGCGAGAGTAGGAGGGGATGAGGAGGGCAGAGCGTACCGCCCCCGCCGGCACCCACCGCGGGACTCCCGCAGCCCGGCGGGCCCCCAACGGCCGTACGAACGACTCACGACTCGGCGCCTCGCAGCCTCGCCCACGCGAGCCCGCCCCGCCCCACGCCGGGCCCTCGCTCCGCCGGGTCACCGGCCGCCTCCCGGCCCGCCGCCCGGCCCCGCCCCCGAGCCGGCTCCCGCCGCGCCGAGCGCCGCAGGGCACGCATGCGCGGGGCGGGGCCTCGGCCGCCTGAGGCGTGGGCGTCGTGCCTCGGTGTGCGTGGAGCGGTGGGGCGTGAGGGCTGTGTCTGGGCGCTGCGAGTTTTTCTTTTCCGGGCGTTTCCGGCTCTCTCTGCTTCCCTCGCGCTGTCTCTGGATTAATGGCCCCGAGGTTTCACCGAGTCTAGCACCGACTCCCCTGGCCTCTGTTATTTCCAAAATAAAGTTGACCCGTAGAGTCGATGCTTGCATCAGCCGCTCAAGGTGTCTGCTTAGGGATGAGATGAATCATCTCCTCGACGTGTTTCTTCTTCTGTGCACTGCAGCAGCAATCTGGATGAGTCGTTCAAGATGTTTATGTCTACGTTAGCCATGTTCCACCCTGTCTTTTTGCATATATGGAAGCACGGAGCAGATTGAGATGCATTACAAATCATAATGCATAAGGCGACCTAGGTCGTAAAGACATACTTTCACCATAAAAAACATACATTAATATCTATAAAACCAAATTATGATCCATTTTTCAGATTGGATATTAGGGAAAGGGTCTGCGCCAGAGGGCAGTGGGCACGGAACAGCGTGCCCAGGGCTGTGGGCACAGCCCCGAGCACTGGAGCTCAGGGAGTGTTTGGACAGAGCTCTCAGACACAGGGATTGATTTTGGGTGGTCCTGTTTGGAGCCAGGGGTTGGACTCCATGTTCCTGTGGGTCCCTTCCAAATTTGTTGTTTTGTGATTCTATGGTTCCATGATCCTCAGAAGTAAACATTCCTTAGCAACTAAGTTAATGGGAATAAAGAATAAGTTTTCCTTCAGCTAAAGCATAAAAAATGTGACTTTAAAAAGTTTTTATGTCTGAACTCTTTATTGAAACGTGAAATATTCTTGAGCTTTTATATAACAGCTGTGGTCTAGAAGTGTATATTTCAAAAGTATAGTATTTGAGAAAATGAGTGCTTCTTGGATGACTGCGTTCTGTAAATGTTGCCACAGAAACAATGGGGGAGGACAGCATCAAGAGAATGAGAAATAGAAACAAAAGAAGTGGATTGGCCATCTATGAGGAAAAAAAAAAAAGCAAGAAAGGATATTTGACCAGCTAGACACATCAAGCCATCAGATATCCAGCAGTTCATCTACTGAAATTCAAAGCTGCAAGATAAATTTGTAGGAGGACTGCTTTAAGTATTAGTCAGCCACGCTGCAGGACATACTCCTGTATAACCCCAGGAGAACAAAGTGCTCAGAGATAGCAGAAGGACAATATGGCACAAAACTGCAAAATGTTATTTCACTACTGCAGAAGTTTGTACAATTAGTTGAGATATAATTCAGTTTGCAACCAATTATGTGACTTTGAGTGAAACTGTGAAGGCCATAGAGAACTGAAGGAATCTTGAAAGGCAGTCATGGAAAGCCAGAGATTGTCTTGAAGTTTCTATCTGTCTATAAATTATAGGGCAGAATATAGTTGGAAACACAGAGCAGATCACACCAAGAGAAAATTTAAATATTGTGCAATATTGATCTACATTTAAAAAACGTGGGGGGATACATGGCTATGCTGGCCTGTATCTGACAGGTATGAGGCTAATTGTGGCTGGAGACTAAGCAGAGGAGCTGGAAAGATGTTGAATTAGTACAGGCGTATTGAAAACAGCAACAGTGTGTAAACTGAGATGCTGCATTGTGATCAAATTGAAATCATGCAGAGATTGGACACCATCACTTAATTGTCATGACTAAGCCCTTAGGGCAAAAAGAATTTTAAGTTTCTTTTCCTCTCCTCTCCTCTCCTCTCCTCTCCTCTCCTCTCCTCTCCTCTCCTATCCTTTTCTTTTTAACCAATATAGATAGGGTAGACCAGGATTGTGTGTGGGTGTGTACACACACTCACATTTGTGGAGAATGAGCTCTGAGAGCAGTTACAAGTTCTGGTAGTGCATATAGATCATTACAGTAACAAACCCTGTCTGAGAGAAGACATCAGTTCTATCTTGTATCCTCAAGGAGAGACAAGTCCACCTGATGAAGCGAGACAAGCATCTTTGCCAGCCTTAGGAGAACTTTCAGATAAGAACAGGGAAGGGAGATGGCAACACAGAGGGAAGAGAAGAAACAGTAGTCAAGGGCAGTAAGAAAATGGTGCAGCATGCATGTTGGGAATAAGAGACCTCAGGAATGATGAAATAGGGTGTGTGAGAGGCCACCCACCTCAAGGGTATGCACACAAACGCCTACAGACTGGGAAGCAAGCAGGAGAAACTAGCGCTCTGCAAGTATGACGTGGTGGGAGTTTGTTACAGATCACTTCATCAGGCAAATTAAGTCTTCTGTAAGGAATTTGAGGGAGACTTAGATCCCAGACTGATGAGGGATTTCATCCTACCTGACATCTGCTATAAGCACAACAATCACAATGCAAGCAGTCAAGATTTCTGAAAGGTGCAGATGATTTATTGATACTGGATGGGCCAGCCACAGGTGATTGCAGCTGGATCTGCCATGCCAGCAAGGCAGAACCATGGGATGTGGGTGGCAGTCGGTGTCTTGGTCACCAAAGCCTTTGCTGCAGTGACTGAGGAAAGGTGTCTGTGATCCTGAGACGACCACAGGAAGATAGCAGTAGACTACACACCCTGTGCTTTAGAGAGAAGACTTCAGCTTATTCAGCAGCTCTGATTGGAGAGCTGGCAAGAGAGCATGAGAATTGTCCATCCTAATAATGAGGAAAACAAATAGTATTTGTTTTCAGCAACAGGAAAGCAAAATTTATATGATCTAAAGAAGAGAAAAACAGTGACTAAATGGGAAATTAAGGTCAGGGTTATCATAAGATCTATATTGCATGGTAAATTCATTCTAGTCAAATGTTTTAGTATAGGCACAAGCAGAGCTTCTTAAAGATATGGTGAACAGGTCACGCCTGCAGATGTGAGCTGTGTTATGGAGTGGTAAATGAAAAGAAATTAAGAGTTCAAAGTGGCCAAGTCATTTATCTGCCTCTAAAGTCTCTCACACTGTGTAGCTGTTACAAAATATTTGAATGACCATGATACCTAGAAACAAAAATCAGAGGCCAAAGTCCTTTGCCTAAGTAGACTCTATGTAAGACATTGAGAGAAAATCCATTCTGTCTTCTGAAGATTTTATAATCCAAATGTGTAGAGGCACCAATCGATACAGAGGAGCAAGAGAAAACATAACAAGTGTGAACTGCTGCCACTCACCCTGTGCCTCTCCTTGTTTCATAATCCCATGGTTTGGCAGCAGCCCAGCTTACTCAAAGGTGAGTGGGTAGGCTAGATTTTAAAACTGAAGATCAGCGCAGTTCAGGTATGTTTGTGCCTGTTTCATCTCTGCAACAATAGGAGGCTTTGCTGAGTCTGAGGAACATCAGGCTTTTATTAGTGTTGCTTGTCAACAGGACTGGTCCCATGAATCTCTTTCTCCACTCTGCTAACAAGTCAAACCACCAGCCAGTCAGGCTGTTGCTGCAGTATCTGAATGCAGACAGATTGCATCTGTTGTTGGACTAGTATGTAGTGTGACCAAAAGATCATAGCATAATAGGGCCATAAAATAATAGGATATTTCTGGTTGGAAGGGACCTCTGGAGGTCTCTGGCCCAACCTCCTGCTCACAGCAGAGTTGGCTCTCAAGTCAGAAGGCTGCTTTGTGTGTATACTTCTTTATTTGCTTTGGAAACTCATAATTTTTGATCCAGATAGCTCTTGCAAAAAGACCACGTGAATTCACCAGCTGGATTTTGATTGACACATAGCCCAGTGAAGGTCATCCACCATCCTCATGGTGGAGTAACCAGCCCTGCTCTAAATATACACTTTAACTTATAGGCAACAAGTATTACAGGACTTATGCTACAAGGTAATTGAGTGGGACATGAAAGATTTTTTCCACAATTTCTATTCCATAATTCCAAGAAAACCCGAAGCAGAATGCAAATTACACAGAATTGGAAACTTAACACATTATGTAAGTGAAAATGGATTCTTCTTGAGAACAAGGGACACTGATGAGAAATATATTTCAAAAGTGCTGTTATATCAAATCATCTTGGACTGACTGAAAATACTTCAATATCTATATTAGTAAATTAGTATTTGTAAATTATGGTTCTAGTACATTTCCAGGAAATCAGGCTTTGTTCAGGACAGCTGTACAAGCTGTCTGGGAGCCATGGCAGGGAGTGATGGTTGTCAGACTGAACATGGGAGGACTCAGGCAAGCATTTCAACAGGTGAGACAACACATTTTATTCATTGTTTAAAAATAAGAACTTCAATCTCACTTATAAACAAGGCATCAAGAAATTCTTCTCACAGAAAACTATACAATGATGGAAGACTATAAAATTTATGAAAATTAAGCTTGTACTTAAGATAAATATTATTTTATTCCTTACCACTTTTCATCAATAAATATCGGAATATTTTACAAATAAATATGAGAAATTATTAGACATATATGAGAATTATTAGACAAATTTTGTAAACAGGAAAAGATAGGTGAAGGGGAGTTCTCACGCAGAGTAAGTTTGGCTCATGTTGATTTATACCTTATTTCAGAAACCAAAGCTTTCCTCAATCAGTGTGGCTTTGTTTTTAAGCAGAGCGTAATATTTGTTTCTTGCAGAGTTCACAGATGAATTTACTTTAATACTTGCCTTTTTCGCAGCTGAACTCATATGGATCACCTTGCTACATATGCAGCTGGTAAATAATTCACCTTTTATTATACAGAGGATTTTCAGCATCCGAAAAGT